TCGGTAAACAACACTAAACACAAGCCTCGTGTAAAGTTGTAAATCTGGTCAGTAGTTTCCACGTTAATAATTATAGTATGGACGCACACACTCACTCACACACACACACACACACACACACACACACACATATAATTATTGACATATTTACATAGTTTTGCCATGGCTGTGAATATCATCGTGTGTCGGCACCCGGATTGTTGTTGTTGATTTTTTTGTTTTGTTGCTGTTCTTAATAAAATTGTACTTCTAGCTAACTGTAAATTAATTTCCATGTTGCCGTTGTAATTTTATCGTTATATGTTGTTGTTGTTGCTGTCTTTTTAATTGCTCAACCACATTGTATTGTTCAATCAGACGAGAGACAACAACAGCAGCAGCACCAGTAGCAGCAGGGATTAACATCATTTAAAAAATTAATAATAATTGAAATTTTTGTAAACACACACGCACACATACACCTGCCCATAGCTGACCTACTGCTGTTCGCGGTGACAGATTGAAATGATAGGCTCATGCGGTGTTAAATAATTGACCTATTTTTAATTGTGGTCGGGAGATGTTAAAGCGAAGCTTATCGCTGTAAATGAATTTGAATGACGTTGTTTGTTTCATTTATTTTTTGATTGGTGGATAAAATTAAGCCGAAATGATGTGAGTGGAAGACGAGATGAGTGATGGGAGTTCGGAGTGGTCTGTTGTAGAATTTAAGAGGAAAATATCAAATTTCGGAAGATGTACTACATTCGTGATTTTTTAATTATTTAAAGAAAAAAAGTTTTTTTTTTTTTTAATTTTAAGTTAAAAAGCATTAAGTTCGGCCGGGCCGAACTTTGAATACCCTCGACTATTTGGAACGAATTTAAAAATTTTCAAAAAATAAAATCCTTAAAAAATTCTGTTAAAATTTTTAAAAATACCAAATATAGCCGTTATATTGGGGTCTATACGATGTGGACCTACATAGGCATTTTTTGTCATAAGCCATTACCATATTCAAATTCGAAACTTGAAATAAACCGCGAATAATGTAGCTAAAATCATCAAAGTATCATATATAGTGAGCTACAGTTACATCGGAGCTGTGTGAAGACCTGGACCAGCATAGACAATTTTCTGTCACAGGCTGTAGCATCCATTACGAACTTCAAATACGACATCTCATAAAATTTCGGTGGGTTTTGTACCTAAACTCGTAAAAATACCGGACATAGGAAGGTACTGATATATGGGGCCGATACGAAGACCTGGATCTGCATAGACAATTTTCTGTCACAGACTGTAGTTCCCATTTTGAAATTCAAGTACCAAATTTGAAACAATTCCGGCGAATAATGTCGCTAAAATCATCAAAATACCGAATAACGGGAGGTACCGTTACATGGGGGCTATACGAAGCCGTGGACCTGCACAGACAATTTTCTGTATTGGGCTGTAGTATCTATTTCGAACTTCAAATACCAAATTTGAAACAATTCCGATAAATAATGTCGCTAAAATCATCAAAGTACCGAATATCGGGAGGTACCGTTATATGGGGGTTATATGAAAACGTGGACCTACATGGCCCATTTACGAACCTAACCTGCCTACTGGGAAAAAAAACACGTGTGCGAAATTTTAGCCTTCTATCTCAATTCGTTCCAAAGATAGTGTGATTACAACAGACAGACGAACGGACAGACAGACGGACTGTCTGTCTGTATATATATATATATATATATATATATATATATATATATATATATATATATATATATATATATGTATATATATATATATATATATATATATATATATATATATATATATATATATATATATATATATCGTTTTATATCGTTTTACGTTATATACCCTCCATAGCATGGTGGAGGATATAAAACTGCAACAAAGTCAAAAGCTATACTTTTCACACTTTTTTTTTAAATATTATTGAATGAAAGCGAAAAAAAGTTCGGAAATAGCATCAAATTTTAGAATAAGTTTAGATTTGTTCGAATTGGTCAACTTTGGCACGAATTATGGCCTTCAAACGGCCAATGAAACCGTCACACGCTGCCCAAATTTTGCTCTGCGGTATTTTGGCCCATTCCCGGCGAAGCGCTTGCTTGAGGTGATCGACACTTTGGTATTTTTTAGTGCCAACCTTGCTTTCCAAAATACTCCAGACACAATAGTCCAACGGATTGGTATCGGGAGATTTTGGTGGTCATTGTGCGCTGGAAATGAAGCGAGGAACCTCATTTTGAAACCATTCTTGGATGGCGCGTGCTGAGTGCGATTGTGCGACCTCGCTGGAATGTCCCAGGTCTGCGGCCAAAATGTTTGCGTGCCCAAGGCTTTAATACACCCTCCATAATATTTTCGCGATAATATTTGGCATTTATTCTGATGCCACGGTCGATTAATACGAGCGGAGTGCGACCATCGGCTCTTCTGGCGGCCCACACCTTCTGGGTGCACATTTTCAGCTGACCTTCAAAGGTGCACATTTTCAGCTGACCTCTTTGTTTGTTTACAAACTGCTGGACAACGAATGTTTTGTCATCGGAGAGCGGAGAAAACCAAATTCGTCTGTTCACCACTTTCGGCCAAGCGAAGCAACTCTTTAGCTCTTTTGAGTTTATTTTATATTTGTTGCGGTGTAAGTTCTTGAACTTTTTGGAATTTCAATGGCTTTATTCTGAGCTCATTTTTCAATATTTGCGGAATGCATATGTTCAGCTCACGAGCCATTTTTCTGCCACTGCGACGCGGGTTTCGATCAAGTCGCTTCTTTAATTTTCGAACCATTTCTGGCGATGATGCTGTTTTTTTCCATCCACTTCCTTACATCAGGCTACGCTACCAGTGTACAAACGACAACGAGCGATGTTATGAGACACAAGAGATTATTTTACATTTAAATGCTGGAGTACTCCAACGATGGCCGCTTGTGGTTTTCCAGCCAAATAAGAAGAAATCGCACTATCACGCTTGAACTCCATCCCGGATAACTTTTTTTTCTGAAAAATTCTCACCAAAATGCTTTTTTTTCGCTTGTAAACAATATAATGAGCTCTTACTGGAATAATTTTAACAGTTGTCGGACGAGTGGCTTGAAAATCACAGCAGTCTGAAATTGGCTGCAGGTTTTCCATCTCACCCTGTATATATGAATATATATGTAGGCCCTCTCAATGTCATAATGTAGACTCTATGACAACATACAACTGAAAACCAGTAAAGAAAGTCTTAAAGTCGGGCGGGCCGACTTACACCACCCCTACACTACTTTGCTAATTTAGTAGAGATCCACATAACAATTAAAAGTTTTTATGGGAGAATTCAATTATACACGCTATGATTAAAATTATAATTTAAAGTTCAAAAGACTAAATATGTCGAAGCATTTGTATCTTTTAAATTCGGGAGCCCTATCCAAATCTGAACCGATCTTAATAAAATTTGGCAAAGATATTTCTGAGCTGTATTTCATATATTTCCCTGAATATCGTTGTTACGGAGCGCATATTACGGCTGTGGGTAACAAATATAACAAATTGGATGAACAATATATATGGGAGCTATAGCTATATCTGAACTGATCTTCGCCAAATTGGAGATATTAGCTTCTAGACTCAATTCGGTAGTAAGTGCCAAATTTCATCCCATTCGGGCAAATATTAGACGTTTGGTGCACAATAAAAAGTTAAGCGGACGAAGTTATATATGGGAGATATGTCCAAATCCGAACCGATCTCGATAAAATTTAGCAAAGGTATTTCTGAGCTGTATTTGATATATTTCCCCAAATATTGTTGCATATTAAGGCTGCGGAGGACAAAAATAACAAATCGGATGAACAATATATATGGGAGCTATAGCTATATCTGAATCGATTTCTGGCAAATTTGGCATACTTATTTTCAGGCCTAATTTGGTTGTATGTGCAAAAAATTCCATAGTATTCGGGCTGATATTACAGGTTTGGTGCACAATAAAAGCAAATCGGACGAAGATATATATGCGAGCTATATCTAAATTTTTACCGATTATCTCCAATTTTAATACGGTTCGTCCTTGGGCCAAACAAATGATTTGTGCAAAATTTCATCTGGATCGGGTAATAAATGCGAAGTGTACTTTGTTCACAAAAATTCTTGGACAGACAGACGGGCGGACGGACATGCATAAATCGACTCAGAATGTGATTCTATGCAGATCATCAAAAGGATCTATGGGTCTATCTTGTTTCCTTTTGCTTGCACAAATGCACAAAGACATAATACCCTGACCACCTTGTGGTGTAGGGTACAATTACCTTTATCAAATTTATATAACCTCGATTCAAATATAACTCCCATATATTAGTTCCATCCGATTTCAAATGTAAACCCCCTTAAAAATCCTAATTCTCATTCAATAATAATTATAGTTGGCTGGGATTATAGATCTATATTTGTTATCGGTAGCTCCCCTAAATATGTCTGGTTATATAGGGTATCATACTCGACCCCGACCCTTACTTCCCCACATGAGGCAATCCAAGTTGCACACGACTTTCTATTAATTTTTTATTTTATTTGCAACACCCTTTCAAAACTCAATTAATTTCAACTCGTATTTAATTGTTACTTTTTTGCGCTCGCAAAATAAACACAAATGTGCGCACACACACATACATACACACGTTTAATATTTGATATGTGTGTGAAATGCCTGCCTGCCCGGCAGCTAGTCGACATGTCGTTAAATGGAATTTTCTATGCTAATGTCTGCTCAAATGTTTGTTTTCATTTTCTAAACTTTACTTAGCTAATAATGCGTTAATTAACAACTTACATAGGGGAGGTGGCAATGAGAAAGTAAAGAAAAAAAACTACTACTACTACAACAACACCAATTACAACATACAACAAACAACAAAATCTGAAAAAAAACTAAAACTAAAAACTGCAAAACTTTTCACTTTTGTATTTTTATCCGTTTCGTTGTTTTTTTATTTTTCATTGCAGGTATGTAGCCGTCGCAGTATGAATGTATGGGCGTCTGAACGAACGAATGAATGAATGAACGAAAGCATGCATGTATGGAGGACGTGTTTGTCTATGGACATGGAGGCCAAGTGTTAAATGAATATAAAACATGAATGGAGTCGAAAGGTAACTTTTAGCGGCAGTAAAGGCAAACTTGTAATTTTTTCTTTCTACTCAAATGGGTGTGTGTGATTTTGAAAAAAATCTGCATATTTGTATATAAGTAGACATGCATACATGTATGATATCAAATACATAGTAACTTGATCCGTATATACATACATACAAAGTAAATAATTGTATGTATGTATGAGAGAACAGTGAAGCCTTCCTTCAGTGAAAACATTATCGCAACTAAAAATGAAATGTTAGTGGTTAGCTAAGGAAACGGGTCAGAGACTAGAGAGAAAATTACTTTGAACAAAAAAATATTCTAGAAAAAATTAAATGGACCTTGGTAACTATCAAACAATCATATGATCATCCGAGTCAGAGTTTTATGAAAATTATTTTTTATGTAAATTTTTTTATAATATTAGTATAGCATACTTTTAGGCGCTCCCCAGAATCCAATTATGTAATATACTTAAACCATATTCATATCATATTTATACTGTAAATATATTTATAGTCTGATCTATAGCCTTTTAATTTAGTTTAAAAATTTCTGGGAGTGTCTAAAAGTATGCTATAAAAATTATAGCAATAAATATAGAAAATGTTAGTATGCATATAATTCTAGCAAAATCTGAAATCCCTTAGAGGTCCACGCCGTCGTGCAGACTCTAATATAACGGCTACATTCGGTATTTTTAAGCTTTTAACAGCATTTTTAAAGGATTTTATTTTTTTGAAAATTGCCAAAATCTTTCCAAATGGTGAAGGCTATTCAAAGATCGGCCCGGCAGAACTTTTAGCTTTTTTACTTGTTTTTTTTAATAAAAATAAATTAAATAATATCAGTCAGTTTTGCCGACAGAGGTATACCCTCATTGAAACTCTTGTCCCTATTATGGGGGCAGTTACAGAGGAGTTGGTCAATATTTTCCGTTTAGTGTCTAACATAAATCTGCTGTAAATATTAACAATGTGCCAGATTTGTGGACCAAAGTATCCCACTTTATCCTCTATCGGTAAAAAATATGAACTCAGCTCAGAGATCGTTGAAGATCCATTTGAGGTCCAAGTTTATTGAGACGCGCTCAGTTCGTGAGGCTATCCTTAGTCGTCGAAAGGATCTCTCTTTGTCTTCTTGATAATCTCATCAATGGAGTCTTCCATCACCTCTTTCAAGGGCGCCTATCTTCAGTTTTTTCAGCTCCTTCACAGAGCACCCCTTTAACTAGTCTAGAGTAAGTAACTGCCTCAGCTCGCCAAGATAAAGAAACTACCTTTAGCTTTTTCAGAGAGAGAGCGAGAGGGAGAAAGAAGAAAGACTGCCTTCAGCTCGTCCTGGTCTACCAATTCGACTATATGGGCATCCTGGCTTCCAGCTCGTCTATATGGTACTCCAAGGTTTTTATTTCGTTGACATAGATTCCTTGGCCTCCATTTCGTATTTATGGAATCCCCAGCATTAATCTCATTTATGTGGACTTTCTGGTCTCTGTCTTCATGGAATCCGGGTCAGATGTTTGTCTATATGGACATTCTGGCCTCCAGTTCGTCTTTATAGGCTCGATGGCATATCAGCTTGCTTCCCCCATTTAACTCATCTAGAGTAAGTAACTGGCATAGCTCGTATAGAGTGGGAGGCTGCCTTTAGCTTCAATAGAGAGAGATAGATAGAGATGGAGAGATAGAAAGAAAGAAAGAGATGTAGAGAGAGAAAGACTACCTTGGGTTTGTCCTCGTCCCCCAGTTCTACTATATGTACTATGTGTATAAAGAGACAGAGATATAGAAAAAGAGATGGAGAGGGAAAGACTGCCTTCAGCTCGTCCCTCTCCGGGACTCGTCTCTACTATATATACATCCTGGCTTCCAGCCACGTTCGTCTATATGGACTACCTCTCCTACAGCTCGTATTTATAGGCTCGATGGCATTCAGCTCGTTTATATGAACTTACCGCCCTTAAGCTCGTCTACAGAGACTGCTTGGCTTGAAATTCTTCTATAAATATGGCCTGGTCGTCAGCTCGTCTGTCTGCTCTGTTAAGACTCCCTGGCCTTGGGAAGGTATCGAGGAGTTGATAAATACATTTTGAGATGATTTAAATATCGAGATGATGATGATGTCGAGGGGTTTTACATGATTATCGCCTTGACGGCTTCAACCTCTGTAGCTATATGGCGGAGGATATAAAAATAAGAACTTTAAAATTCCTTGAAAAAATATTTTCAAAAAATCCTGTTTTGCAATAGCCTTGAAAGGGTTTTTAGAAAAATATTTGACATAATTTTTTAAAAAATATACTTGGTAAAGAAATGCTTGAAACGGATCTGCCTTATTTTTTTTCCATTAGTCATGTTGCTGAGTTGTTGACCGTAAGAAATTTGTCAAATGAGTATCTCCAAAAAATTCTAAATAAGAATATGGGAGGCCCATAGTATTTATAGCAATGACTTGAAACAGCCAACCCATACCTAGTCTTATAACAAACAGGTTCCACTGTGTTATTACTATACCGAACTTGTTGTAATGCAAGCATTTGCTTTATTTGCCAAGTTAAATATTGAGGTTAGCTTAGGTATATATGTGTATGTAAATAAGATAACACAAAAGTTTCGGCGTTGTTAGCAAAAAATGTTAACGGTTCCAGAATTATATAAAGGTGTTAGAAGCGATTTTTTTTATTTTGGCTACACTATTTTGAGGTTATAATTAAGCATTCAAATAATTGTGAAAATTTACAGCAAAAATGGTTGGCTCCATGGCTGTGAGGGGAGGTCGTATGGTGGTGTTAATGACTGTTGCCATGGCAGGATGAACCTAAATTGCATTAAAATCAAAAGCAAATAGACACTGTAGACGCTTCAGACTAAAAAAATAAAATGTGAATAAAAAAAGCTGGGAATGGAATATTCAAAAGGGCTACGGCTTTTAAAGTTTGCCTTCTAGACACAATTCAAATATTTGAAAGGAAAATATGTACGCTCCACAAAAAAGAAAAAAAAAAACGAAAAGAAACAAATTTTATTCAAATAAAATTCATATGTGTACATGTGTAGACATTTCTATTTATAAATGTCTGCGTCTCTCTCACTCCCTCTCACACACAGACACTCTCATGGAAAGAAACTAGAGTTTTTGGTAGCGAAAATTTGTTAGACTGCTTCCCTTTGAAGCTTTCCAGTTTTTTTCCCATTCCTTTTTGCAGCCATGTCTCGGCAACATGTTCCCGGCATATGTACATTTAACTTGGAGGCCAAAAATATGGAAGCCCAGAAGCCACCAAAAAAATAAAATAACAAGCAAACATCAAGAAAGAATCACAAATAGGCTTAGGCTTTATAAATATGCAATACTTCACATGTTTTCGTATTGTTTTAGATTCCGCATGAGAATGTTGGGCGAACGAGGGGAAAAAATAACAAAATAGATGAATATTATTTTTCCTCGACAGGGAAGGACAAACTTTCACAACCATTTACCTAGGAAGCTGAGGTTCGTAATGAAAAATGGAAACTTTATATGGTCAAACGTGGATAAACAGTCAAACGCGCATCTGGTAAAAGAGGAGGCTACACATATTGGATTTTTCCATAGTAAAAACCTAGGATAATTTTCCTGAAAATATTAAAAAGATATTAGAAAAAAAAAAAAATAATAAAAAAATTGCAAGCTCTTTATTTCTTAAAAATTTTTCTAAAAAATCCTCAATTAAAAAGCTTTTGGCCCTGAAAAAAATTATTCGCAAAAAATATATTTTTTACACGTTTTACCCAGGATAATTTTTCTGAAAATATTAAAAGGATATTAAAAAAATATAGTAAACAAATGCAAGGCCTTCAGTTCTTAAAAAATTTTCTAAAAAATCGTCGATTAAAGGGCTTTTGGTCCTGAAAAAAATATTTGTAAAACATTTTTTTTTACATTTTGGCTCTTATCTTATCCTTAAAAAAATCACATTTGGAAGGTTGTTGATCCTTAGAAACACATTCTTAACTAATATTCTTAAAAATCTACATTTGTTTACATTTTTTCCTAAAAAGTCCACAATGAATGTGTTTGGTCCTTGAAAGAATATCCTTTCAAATATAATATCTTTAAAATCCTTAAAAAAAATATTCTCAAAAATATTATAAAAAATCGACGTGATTGTAGCAGCTCCTATCTCTTTGTCCTTTCTGATTAAAGGGCTTTTAGTCCTGAAAAAAGTTATTCGCAAAAAATATATATTTTTTACATGTTACATGGTTTTACATGATAATTTTCCTGAAAATATTAAAAGGATATTTAAAAAAATAATAAAAAAAATGCAAGGCCTCCAGTTCTTATAACAATTTTCTAAAAAATTGTCGACTAAAGGGCTTTTGGTCCTGAAAAAAATATTCGCAAAAAAAAATTTTTACATTTTGGCTCTTATCCTTGAAGAAATCACATTTGGAAGGTTGTTGATCCTTAGAAACACATTCTTCTAAAATCTACATTTTTTTAATTTTTTTCCTAAAAAATCTACAATTGATGTTTTTAGAAAAAATGAGAGTGTTTGGTCCTTGAAAGAATATCCTTTCAAATATAATATCCTTAAAATCCTTTAATAAAATATTCTCAAAAAATATAAAAAAATCGACGTTATTGTAGCAGCTCCTATCTCTGTGTCCCTTCTGATTCTTCTCAAACAGGTTCTACCTATATAGTTTGGGTCCTTAACGATACTGGAGTTAGATGAGTAGGCTTGGCTTGGCAGTGAAAGATGTGCAGCATGTCATGTGGGAATGTGACACAAGCTGGACGAATACGAATTAAGAAAACTACACCATCCAGATTTTAATTGACCAAATGGAGGGTTATGGTCTCCGTTATTCACTCTATATTCCTCATAAATTCTGTGACCGCGTCATAGGGAATACCATTCAGTCCTACTTGGAAGTCCTGTTGTTCAAATTCTCTATGTCTCTCTCTCTCTCTCTCTGGGACATAAAGGTCTATCCTTATGTGCTTGGACGGAGGTTGCGGTGCA